AATCCAAACTAAAAATGAGTTTTGGAATATAAAAACCAGAAGTTGAAGATGAAGGGGAAAATAATTCCAATCCCACGTTCTCATTGATGAAGCTTCAACCTTAACCATTCATTTATAACTTACTAGAATAGGATCCGCGGATAAACACATTAAAAAAATATTAATATCAACATTTAAGTTTTAGTTAGTAACATGTTTAATTATAAAAATATTTTGAAATATTTAAACATGAATCTCAAACAATAAAGTTTAATTTATATCTTAATTCTAATGTCATAATTCATATTATGCTGACACGAAATATATACACATAAATAGAATTCAAATCATATTCTTAATAACAAAAACAAAATATTCTTACATATTATGAATTTATATTAATTATACGATAAAATCTTATAACAATTAAAGTATTATAGAGGTTAATTATAAACAATAAATTTATGTGAATAATCTCATAAAAAATTATTAAAATATTTTATAATATTTTTATCAAAATTATATATAAATCTATAATTGATAAATGTCATTGATGTTATCGGTTTATTTTTCATAGAGATCTATACTCGTCAGATCTTATACTTTTGAATCTTAACAATAAATATATTATTATTATTTTATAACATGTATAAATTTTTATTTATATAATTACCTTTTTAACATTGAAAAATATAGGTAGAAGATTTATAGTAAATATGTTTATAGATTTTTTTCTTCTTTGGTATATTTGTTCATATAAATTTTAACATTGAGATTTTCATACTCTTGAAATTGCAAAAATGCCACTTTTTATGTGCATATTTGCAAAAATACCTCTTAGAAGTGTTCATTTGCAAAAATGACACTACTTATAGATTTTTAAACCCTATATCTTAAAATTCTAAACACTAAAAAATGTTTTGACCTCTAACCCCCCTAAACCCTCATAACTAAACCCTAATAGAACATTATTAACCCAAACATAAATAATATAAAGAAAAATAATTTTGAAAAAGTGGTATTTTTTTAAAGATTTCAAAAGCGTGTCATTTTTGTAAAGTGACACTTGAAAAATGGCATTTTTTGAAATTTCTCTTTAAATTTTTTTGTTTTCAATTTATAAAAATTCTGTTGTTTTATAATTCATAT